GGAATATCCCCACAGCCGCGGCAGCTGCAGGGATATTCCCCGCCACAGGACTGCAGCCACGAGAGGGTGGACGCTTCCCCAGGCCCTTTTCACCAAGTGCCCTCTAACGGGACAAGAGGGGATGGAGATGGGGACTCACTGCTCCGGACGGGCTCCGCCAGCGCCTCTTTGCCCAGGGACTGCGCCTCCCGCATCTGCCAGGGGAGAGGAACATTTTCCAGACTGCAACCCTCGGCACCGCTCGCCATGCTCCAGAGCCCCCCCCAAGCAGCTGTACCTTCAGCTGATCTTTCAGGTACTCAGCTCGGGCCATCAGGGTCTGGATCTGGCGGAGAGACAGAGAAGAAAGTCCCTGCAAAGCCACGCCAACGGGGACACGCCACCGTCCCCTGGCTGGCACTCACCTCCGCGAGCAGCTCCCGCCGCCTCCCCGCAGGCTCCGCTGCAGAGGAGAGAGGGACGCGCCGTCGGCTCAGCCACGGGGGCAGGATCCACCCCTGCCCCGCAGCACCCGCCACCGTCACCACTCACCGGCCAGGAGGAGCAGCAGCTCGCCCAGGCTCTGCTGGTAGAGCTCCAAGGTGTCACCGTCGTCTTTGCCTTCCTCCTCCTACAAGAGAGCCCGGGGGCCAGGCTGCAGCCTGGGGGGGATGCGCCGGCTCCCTCCCCACCCGGCTTTGCTCTTTCCCCTCCCACTCGAGGGGAGAGGGGACACCCAAATCCACGACTCACCTTAGCGATGGCAGCAGAAGCCATTTCCAGCGCAGCGCAGAGCCGAGGCTTGTCCTTGGCCATCTCTGCAAGGGGACATTGCAACGGGGAGCACCCCAGGGAGGGGGAGCACCCTTCAGCCCAAAACCCCACCAGCTGTCCCCTTCCCATTCCGATGCTGGGGGGTCCCCAAAAAATCCCTACCTTTAAGGAGCTCCCTGGCCGGGTTCTCTTGCTGCAGGAGACTCTTGCTGCTGGAGGTGACCAACGCCTTCAGCTCCTCTGCTCGGGAGATGTACTGCCCCACCTGCCCACAGCAGGGGTTGTGAGGGGACCCCCGCCACAGGCGACAGAGGATGGGGGGGCACCTTGCTGAGCTAAGCCACAGGGATGCTGTCGCCCACCTCCCCAGGGATTTTGGGCTCACCTTGGCCCGGATGGCTTCTTTCCGGCGAGCATCGCTTTCATCTGGGAGGGAGAGAGCAACCGATCACAGGTGGGGGTGGGCTGCAAACTGGCCTCCCCCCAGGGTGCTGCCCCCACCCCAAATGCACCCAGCATTGCCCAGGACCCTCGGCGTGGACTCACAGTGCAGAGCTGGCACAAAATACTCCAGGGCTTTGCAGTAGAGGGAGAGGGCGGTGGAGGCATCCCCCTCCTGATCCTTCTTCACCGCCTCCACCACCAGCTCAGTCTGGTGGAGATGAGGGGCAGCTCAGGGCTTGGCCCTCGTCCCCAGGGACCAGCACCCCAGCACCCCACTCACCGCCTTGCAGAGGCTCTCAGGGCCAGGGATGTGCTCCATATCTACGAAGGGGTGGGCAAAGAAGCGCTCGAAGGAGATGCGTTTCAAAGGGTCCCTCTCCAAGAGCTGTCCTAAGAGATCCCGGCACTCCGGGGAGAGCAGGGGCCGGCTGGGCAGCTGGGGAGGGAAGGGGGCTGAGACCACCGGCCCTGCCACAGCCCCAGCATAGGGATGGGCTGAGAGAACCCAGCCGGCTCTGTCCCATCCCGCGTTACCTCGACAGCCCGGTCGCTGCGGATCTTCTCCTCCAGCTCGGCGAAGGAGCGGGAGGCAAAGGGTGGCTTCCCGAAAAGAGCTTCTGCGGGGAGGAAAGGGAGCAGCGAGGGGAGATGGAGAGGGGGAAACCGGCCCCGAGCCAAGCCCCGGGGAGGATAAAAGCAAAAGCCCACCATAAAGGATGACGCCCACCGACCACAAGTCCACCCGGGCGTCGTACTGCTGGCGGCACACCATCTCGGGGGCCATGTAGAGCGGGGAGCCCCGCAGAACGTGCTTCTCGTCCCACGGCGACATGTACTGCGCAAACCCGAAATCTGCGGGGGAGAGGGTGAGGAGAGCTCCTTTGAGGGGCGGAGGGAAGAAGGAATTGTCACCCCCAGCCTCTCCCTGGGGACCTGCCCTGACCTGCCAGCTTCAGCTGGGGGTTCTCCGGGGCGCTCAGGAGGATGTTCTGCGGCTTGAGGTCCAGGTGGGAGATGTTGTGGTCGTGGAGGAACTTCAGGGCACAGGCTGGGTGGGCAGATGGGCATGTGGCAGGGGGCACATCGCCACAGCCCCCCAAAATCCCTGGGAAGATTCCCAAAATCCCAAAATCCCAAGAGAGCTGGCGCGGGCACTGGGCAGGGCACCCTTACCAAGCTGCTGCAGGAAGATGCGCGCCACCTTCTCGGGGAGGATCCTGCGCATCCGGATGAAGCGGGAGAGGTCCCCCCCGGCGCAGAACTCCATGATCAGGTAGATGTGGTCGCTGTCCCACTGCCAGGCAAGAGGGCCCCATCATGCCACCCCAGCTGGTCCCGCCACATAACCCACCCACGCCAGGTCTGCCTGGACTGGTCTGCCCAGTTGCTGGCACCGAGCCCACAGACACAAGCTTGGGGAGGCAGGATGGACCCCAGGACGTGCGAGGGACCAGTGCTGGCTCAGTGCCACCCCCCCCGGGAAGCCCCCAGCCCCACCTGGAAGTCCT